TTTGTGTTTTTACTCGGATATAGGATAAATCTTGCTCTGGAGGGCTGGAGAGATCACTAAAAATTGTTTCCTTTTTTTGGTGCCAGGAGCCTTTTCAGCAGATGAATATTGCTATGGTAATAGTGGTGGGTGAATCTATCGCTTCCGGTTAGTCTCAGTTTCTCATTTTTCCAATCTTAAGTTTGGTTCTCCATATTTCCACATCATTCTGATTTTTTTTTATTTAATAATTATTCATGTTTCCCCCCCATAATGTACACATTTTCCCAGGCAATTTGCACTGTCCTGCTCAAAGTGAACCCCACTAATATAATGCATTTTTTAGTTATTTTAACAACAACAACAACATTATTTATACACGGCCCATCTGTTTTTTTTGTTTTTAAATAATATTTATTAATAATTTCAGAATTACAGAAAAAAAATAAAAAATAAAAAACAACACTACAATACATAAAAAGAAGAAAAAACGCAAAACATAAAAACCAATACAACAATACAATAAAAAATATATATGAAAAAAGGGGGGGGGAGGCACAAATCCCATATAACTTCCATTTGCTTGTTTCGTTGACCTCCTCGCACCTCCCTTTTTGTATTCTAGTTTAGTTAGTTATTTCAGCAAATTCTTTCCATCTTTCTCAATTTTTATTAAATAATTTATCTTAACAATTTAACCTATTAATTAACTCAACAGATCCTTTCCATCTTTCCCCATATTCTGTTATTCAAATTACCTTAATTTATTTAACCTTATCTTACCATAAAATACCTTAAAGCTTGAAACTTAATACTCAGTTATACATAACCCCTGATATCATTTCTGCTAGAGTCATATAGTTTCATTCCAACATTTTCCTAATATTCATTAATTTTAGGCTAATTCCCTAAATAAAAGTTTTCTTTATAAATTTTCTTCCAATCTTCATCCAACGTCTCTTCTTCCTGGTCTCGGGTCGTGTCAGTCCTTACTGTCCATTCCATCTAGTCCATCAACCTGGAAGTCTTATGTCCGAGGCCCTTAAGTCTCTTCCATGTCCCTTCTGCAGATCTTCATCTTCTTGTTTATACTTGCACTTTTCCTTGTCTTTTGTTGGTCTCTTTCTTAATTTCTTTCCTTTCTCGTTGAGGAGTAGGTCTCTGGGGGGTTCCAACCCAAAGTTATCTCCGTCTCCCTTCATCAAACCAGCCCATTCCCCACAGTCCCACTCCCCACAGTCATCAATATAATCCAAAAAATATTTACAAGCATATTTTGAAGTCTCTCCAAAGTTAAAAGCCTCCTCAGCTCCAGACTCCCCCTGGCCCACTCCAACTTCAATCTTCAAAAACAGCGGCTTATGCTCCTGTAGGGCCTTGGGCCTCTCCATTTGTATTATTTGAGGTGCAACCGCAGCCTCCTCCATTATCTTCTGCACTTGCCCAATCAATACAGGTTCCTGAGTTGGACCCTGGATGGTTTCTGTATCACTATTCACTAGTTGTCCACAGTTATTGGCCACAACAGTCATCAAATCCATTTTCTCATTCATCAAATCCATCTTCTCATGCATCTGTTCCAACAAAGCACTTGTCTTGCATAGAGCAAGCACCAAAACTTCCTTCCAGCTCATATTTAGTCAAGGTCCAAAGGACTAATCCCACGATCTTAATCTCACAGCTGTGGCTGCAGCAACAATTTAGCAAGCTCCCTCTAGAGGAGACAATTTCTATTTGTATCCATCTTTTTAAGGCAAGTCCAACAGAGGAAAATTACTTTCATTTTTTCAGATATTTTGTTTCTTTAGAATGCAAAAGGCAACATTGGAATCAGTTTATTTCTCTTCTTTAGCTATCTGTCAAAGTATTCCATTCACAGTCAATGAACCTCTCCAACAATTTCTGTCTCTGACACCCCGTTCCCAGGTTAGAGACGGTGGAAACTTATCTTTCTTCACTCCCTCTCCTGCAGGTGTTACACAAAGTCCCCCCCCCCCTTTTCTCCTGCTTCCAAGGGGGTTTCAGTAGTTATAAATGAAGGAAATTTAGGCTTTTTTTAACGACTTTCCAGGCTTTAGCTTACAAGGTTTTTGCTTCAGTCTATATACAAAAAGCGGAAGGCGGACTTCCTGTTTTGAACCTTCCCGCTTCGATGTCAAATTAAGATATTTCTTGATCCAATTTTCCGTTTCTACTCACGGGTACTTGTTTTAGATCCAATTGTCCACAGGAAAAAGTCAGCGCTCTCCGGCGATGGCTGTGCGGCTTCACTCCGTGAAAGTAGCAGTCAGTTCGCAGCACCGCGCCTCTCACCCCACTTCACTCCGGAATCCCAAAAAGGGGTTCCCCGTGAGTAGGGGGGGCGCTCCAGGTGCCCTGCCGAACCCCACGTTCCCAGGCTTCCTCCGCCTGGGATTTCTAGCGGGTCCCCACCTTCGCCGCAGTGGGAAGACCCAGTTTCCATGGAGCTAGTTCCTCCTGTCGGAGGAACTCCGCCATTCGCCGATGGCACTAACCCGGAAGTCCATTTTTATTTAATAATTATTCATGTTCTCCCCCCCATAATGTACACATTTTCCCAGGCATCTTGCACTGTCCTGCTCAAAGTGAACCCCACTAATATAATGCATTTTTTAGTTATTTTAACAACAACAACAACAATATTTATACACGGCCCGTCTGGCTGGGTTTCCCCAGCCACTCTGGGTGGTTTCCAACAAAATATTAAAAACACATTAAAACATCAGTCATTAAAAACCTCCCTAAACAGGGTTGCCTTCAGATTTCTTCTAACAGTCAGATAGTTGTTTATTTCCTTGACATCTGATGGGAGGGTGTTCCACAGGGTGGGTGCCACTACTGAGAAGCCCCTCTGCCTTGTTCTCTGTGTACATTTCTATGCACACTTTACCCAAACACATGCAATTTTTTTGCACACATAACTTAGTTGGAAAACTGCATTTCAAAATTCAGAGGAGTTAAAATTGCAAATGCTAGCTGTGTTTTGGTTGGCCCAAATAGTGTTTCAGAATCTTCAGATTAGATAGGTTCACCATTAAATGCAAATGGAATCAAATTTCTCCCTCATCCCTTGAATAGAATCAAGGGATTAAGAAATGTTCCAGGGCGTTCAAGTCAATAATTACTTTAGTAATGAGACTGAGTTTTCATTTTGTACACTGTGAACTCAGTAGGTCTTTGAATGATAGCAAGTGCACTGTACTCTGTGTGATCAGGGATAAAATATACAGTAATCATTCTTCTTATCTTCTTCCATCATAAAAAGCTACCCCTGCCCGTACGAGCCAGTCGTGTCCGACTCTAGGGTTGTGCGCCCATCTCACTTAAGAGGCCGAGGGCCAGCGCTGTCCGGAGACACTTCCGGGTCATGTGGCCAGCGTGACGAAGCTGCTCTGGCGAGCTGGCACCAGCGCATCACACGGAAACGCCGTTTACCTTCCCGCTATAAAGCGGTACCTATTTATCCACTTGCACTTAAGGGTGCTTTCGAACTGCTAGGTGGGCAGGAGCTGGGACCGAAAGACAGGAGCTCACCCCGCCGCGAGGATTCGAACCGCTGACCATGCGATCGGCAAGCCCTAGGTGCTGAGGTTTTACCCACAGCGCCACCCGCGTCCCTTTTTCTTCCATCATACCTTTCATCTAAGAAGCTGAAGGCGGTACATGCACTTCTCTCCCTCCCTATTTTTGCTCACAAGAACCCTGCAAGGTATGTTTTGCTGAGAGATGGCAACTGACCCAAGATAACCCTGTTGCATAACATAGGCACTCCTTTTCACATTTCCTGCAGGGACAGAGGCTACACAGCAATATTGGTGGTGGAGTCAGAAGCACATTGCCTGTGACCTCTGTGAAGGTATCTTCAGAGATGGTTCAAGACCTTGATTACACTTTCTCTACTTCTAAATTTTATAAGGATCAAGTCAAAATATAAACATCATCATTTTTGCAAAATCTGCCCCCATGTTTGTTGTTGTTTAGTCGTTTAGTCATGCCCAACTCTTTGTGACCCCATGGACCAGAGCACGTCAGGCACTCCTGTCTTCCCCTGCCTCCCACAGTTTGGTCAAACTCATGCTGGCAGCTTCGAGAACACTATCCAACCATCTTGTCCTCTGTCGACCCCTTCTCCTTGTGCCCTCCATCTTTCCCAACATCAGGGTCTTTTCCAAGGAGTCTTCTCTTCTCATGAGGTGGCCAAATTATTGGAGCCTCAGCTTCAGGATCTGTCCTTCCAGTGAGCACTCCAGGCTGATTTCCTTAAGAATGGAGAGGTTTGATCTTCTTGCAGTCCATGGGACTCTCAAGAGTCTCCTCCAGCACCATAATTCAAAAGCATCAATTCTCTGGCGATCAGCCTTCTTTACGGTCCCCATGTTTAGGTAGGCCTAACCAAGCTGGTGCATTTAGAAATAGGGTCAACAGTGGGTAATGACTTAGCTAGTGTTCCCCGCCTTTCTAAAACAAGGAAAGTTGCAAAAGCCTTACCTTAGGAATGCCCCATGACCATTCATATAAGGTCTTGGAGGGCCCCGTTCTTATTTTGTTCTGATCCCTTCCCCTCCTCTTGTTGGGAGGGATATAACTAGGGCTTTTTTCTAGTCCAAACTCGCTGGAACTCAAGCACCTCTCACGTGGGCACCATTGCCATTATAAGAGAACAAGGGAGGCATTCATGGTGAGTTCCAGCACCTCTTTTTCTAGAAAAATAGCACTCAGTCAAAAAAAATCTGCTTTGTATGCATGTAGGACACCACAACTTCTATTGATGGCATCTCCAGGTAGGAGAAACCCTGGAAAGTCGCTTCCAGCTGGTTACACAATACTGAGCTAGATGGATGAATGGTATGATAAGGCAGCTTCCTACATCACTAACACTCTTCTCTAATGATTGTATTATTCCTTTTCTTTCATTGGTTTCTTTGGGGGAAAGGTTGGCTCGGAATTGAGTAGTACTTTGGGAAGCAAAACAACGAAACCTCAACTGAGATGCATGGAAACAATAAATGGTTTTTGGCGTGAGCTGGCAGAAGCTCATTAACCACAACCAGAAAGACAGGTAAGAAGTAAAGATAGTCACATGTCGAAGAAAAGACAGAGACACAGCTTTCTGGGGTTTTAGGAAAGAGCCATTCCCAGTCACACCTGGAAACGCCTGGGATTGAACCTGGTCTGATGCTCTGTAATGGCAGAGCAGTTTCCATAACGGCTTTCCCAGTTTGGGGGAAACAAGGCTTCACCAGTCATAGTTTATGAAAGGGGAGGAGACTGGCTGAGCCTTGCTCATGCATTTCCATTTGCAGAGCAACTCACAACAGTATTTTCCAAGCACAATGTGTGTGAGGGGGTGGGGGAAGAGTTCTCCCACAAGAAGGAATGTTAATCACTCTCATAGTCGGTAATATTTAAATCAGCTGATCTACCTTCTTCATTAGAACTGGAAGTGCACATTGGCATTCATATCTTATAATCTCTTTTTCTCTTTTTCTCTCAGCATTGAGGTGCCATGAGGAACTCTTACCTTGCTCCGATACGTCTTTTGGGGGGTCTCTTTCTTGCTTCAGGTAAGTCATACACAGACATACAGTGGTACCTTGGGTTAAGAACTTAATTTGTTCTGGAGGTCGATTCTGAACCTGAAACTGTTCTTAACCTGAGGTACCACTTTAGCTAATGCTGCCACCGCGCCGCCAGAGCATGATTTCTGTTCTCATCCTGAAGCAAAGTTCTTAACCCGAGGTAGTATTTCTGGGTTAGCGGAGTCTGTAACCTGAAGCATCTGTAACCTGAAGCGTCTGTAACCTGAGGTACCACTATACAAGCTTCATAAACAATAAGTATGATAGGGATAAAGAACTGGAGACTAGTCGTGCTGGTGAGGCTAATCTCATGTCTCAAGGCTTCCCTTCTCAATCCCATCATAGAACCGAACCCCTCTCCCCTGCTATGCACTTCTTATTTTGTTCTCCTGTGCTTTATGAAAGCAAAGACACAGTCCCCGGTTCAAGACTCATTGCCTGTTGGGAGGGCTATACGAAAGTATGGCTGCTCACCCTATGGAAAAGAAGGTAAGAGAAGTCTTTTTGCCTGGGACTTTGTTCAGGAGTGAGCCTGTGGGTGCGGTAAGTTGTATTCCTTCTTCATGGAGACAAAATTCTGCTTAAAATTAGCTGCAGACCAGGAGTTTAGGACGCTGTGGAGAAATTCTCCGGCACAACAGATTCAGCATCACCCAGGAGCAAGAGTTCAACATTGCTTTACTTCTCTTCCCATGTCAGCAATTGCTTGTAGGATGCTGGTGATGTTCAATATCATTTATTTTGCACTGGGGGTGGTGGTATTGTTTAATCATAAGGCGTGGGCTTTAGGTACGGACACATATTTAAAACAGGAGATTCTGTGAACTGAATTGGCAGCTTTTTACTCATGCAAGCCATAGACAATTTTTACCATTGAAATTATCTGAAGCAACATGAAGGTGTGATTCACCTTGTTTGTTCTGCATTGTCCTTTTTGCACACACTAATACCATCATTCCCATTGTCTGTCAAAGATTGTGTGCATGTGTGAACCAGCCCCAAGTGGAATATTTGAGTCGGCACTACTGAACTTATTTACAAGTGAAAATCAGGACTTTACTAATAATAATAATAATAATAATAATAATAATTTATTATTTATACCCCGCCCATCTGGCTGGGCTTCCCCAGCCACTCTGGGCGGCTTCCAAAAGAATATTAAAATACTATAATACATCAAACATTAAAAGCTTCCCGAAACAGGGCTGCCTTCAGATGTCTTCTAAAAGCCTGGTAGTTGTTGTTCTCTTTGACATCTGGTGGGAGGGTGTTCCACAGGGAAGGCGCCACTACCGAGAAGGCCCTCTGCCTGGTTCCCTGTAACTTGGCTTCTCGCAGTGAGGGAACCGCCAGAAGGCCCTCAGTGCTGGACCTCAGTGTCCGGGTAGAACGATGGGGGTGGAGACGCTCCTTCAGATATACTGGACCAAGGCCGTTTAGGGCTTTAAAGGTCAGCACCAACACTTGGAATTGTGCTCGGAAACGTACTGGGAGCCAATGTAGGTCTTTCAAGACCGGTGTTATGTGGTCTCTGCGGCCGCTCCCAGTCACCAGTCTAGCTGCCGCGTTCTGGATTAGTTGTAGTTTCCGGGTCACCTTCAAAGGTAGCCCCACGTAGAGCGCATTGCAGTAATCCAAGCGGGAGATAACCAGAGCATGCACCACTCTGGCGAGGCAGTCCGCAGGCAGATAGGGTCTCAGCCTGCGTACCAGATGGAGCTGGTAAACAGCTGCCCTGGACACAGATTTGACCTGTGCCTCCATGGACAGCTGTGAGTCCAAAATGACTCCCAGGCTGCGCACCTGGTCCTTCAGGGGCACAGTTACCCCATTCAGGACCAGGGAATCCTCCACACCTGCCCGCCTCCTGTCCCCCAAAAACAGTACTTCTGTCTTGTCAGGATTCAACCTCAATCTGTTAGCCGCCATCCAACCTCCAACCGCCTCCAGGCACTCACACAGGACCTTCACTGCTTTCACTGGTTCTGATTTGAAAGAGAGGTACCTTTCGGGAACTGACAAACCTTTAACTGGATTTCTTCTCGTGGTAGCATATATGATCATCAAGAGCTTCTGGAAAGTTCTTAAAAGGGCTACTTTAATTTTTTTATTTATTGATTGATGAGTATGGCATACAGCCCTCATGGAAAAGCTCACACACATTATGATTGGCAAGATGAATAAAACACAAGGACACTTTTGCTGAAGGGTAGTGAAAGTCTACTGTCTTTATAAATATGCCACCAAGTGGAAGACATGTGGATTTCATGATAACCAAATAACAGTAGTAGTTTTATATTTCCTATTTATAGAAATCTTTGCCATTATTCCGCGGGAACTATTATTATCGCAAGGGTGAAGTTATCTCCAGAGTATGGAGTTGTAGTTTTTTTGTTTGTTGATAACAAGTTGGATTATGTAGCACAACTGCGGAATGACAAAAAAAGGTTAGCCGCCCCCCCCAAAAAAGGAGAGTGAAATTGTTGGGTTCTACTTATTAACGTATGCTTGAAGTAGCCCTGATTAGTTACGCAAAAAGGCTTAATTTTAACTTGTTTTCTCTTTTCTTTTGCTGTTCCGCAGGACTCACAATTGATAGGAACCTCATAAAGAAGGAATGCATTTGGACAAGGCATTATGTTGCAAGCAATCTAAGAGGTTTATATTGCTGCCATGAAACAGGTGAATATTACTGAACTTGCTTTTTTGTTACATTGCAAGTGTGGTTAAAATCCTGCTAATGTTTTCATCTGCTTATAATGGTCTCCTAAAATTATTATAAATTTTCCTCATTCTTTTCTGAAGTTCTTGTCCTCTTTGTTTCTGAGCTTCCCATTTAATTTTGCCATTTTAGCCTAGTCCATCAACTTTGTTTGCCATTCTTCCTTGGTTGGAATTGTTTCTCCCTTCTATCTCTGAGCTAGCAACATCTGTGCGGCTGTTGTCACGTACATAAAATTTATTTGCTGGTCCCTTGGAATCTTGGTACCTGTTGTTGTTCAGTCGTTTAGTCATGCCCAACTCTTTGTGACCCCATGGACCAGAGCACGCCAGGCACTCCTGTCTTCCACTGACTCCCGCAGTTTGGTCAAACTCATGTTAGTAGCTTCGAGAACACTGTCCAACCATCTTGTCCTCTGTCATCCCCTTCTCCTTGTGCCCTCCATCTTTCCCAACATCAGGGTCTTTTCCAGGGAGTCTTCTCTTCTCATGAGGTGACCAAAGTATTGGAGCCTCAGCTTCAGGATTTGTCCTTCCAGTGAGCACTCAGGGCTGATTTCCTTCAGAATGGATAGGTTTGAGCTTCTTGCAGTCCATGGGACTCTCAAGACTCTCCTCCAGCACCATAATTCAAAAGTATCAATTCTTTGGCGATCAGCCTTCTTTATGGTCCAGCTCTCACTTCCATACATCACTACTGGGAAAACCATAGGTTTAACTATACGGACCTTTGTTGGCAAGGTGATGTCTCTGCTTTTTAAGATGCTGTCTAGGTTTGTCATCGCTTTTCTCCCAAGAAGCAGGCGTCTTTTAATTTTGTGACTGCTGTCACCATCTGCAGTAATCATGGAGCCCAAGAAAGTAAAATCTCTCACTGCCTCCATTTCTTCCCCTTTTATTTGCCAGGAGGTGATGGGACTAGTGGCCATTATCTTAGTTTTTTTGATGTTAAGCTTCAGATCATATTTTGCGCTCTCCTCTTTCACCCTCATTAAAAGGTTCTTTAATTCCTCCTCATTTTCAGCCATTAAAGTTGTGTCATCTGCATATCTGAGGCTGTTGATATTTGGTACCTATAATTCATAATAAAAAAGCTTCTGGTTTTTCAAGAAAGGTTATTTTAAACATTTTTTTTATTTCATTATATATCATTTTCCAAAAGGTTTTGATTACCTTACACTCCCACCACATTACCAAACTTACTTATAAATCAAAATCAGGACCTTTAATTGGATTTCTTCTGGTAGTAGCATATATGGTTGTCAAGAACTTCTGGAAAGTTCTTAAAAGGGCTACTTTAACATCTTGGTATAAATTAGTATGGTATACAGGCCTCGCTGAAAAGCTAACACACATGTTGCAACTGGCAGGAAGAATAAAGCACATGAAGGGCAGTGGGGCTTTATTGTCCTTACAAATATGCCAGAAAGTTGAAGACATGGATTTCATAGTATCAGAGAATTGGGAGGGACCTAAGGGTCATCTAGTCCAATCCCCTGCAATGCAGGAATCTCAGCTAAAGACAAATGGCCACCCAACCTTTGCTTAAAAACCTCCAAGGAAGGAGAGTCCACAACCTCCCGAGGGAGTTCGTTCCACTGCCGAACACTTACTTTCAGAAAGATTTTCCTGCTGTGTATTCGAAACTCCTTTCTTGTAACTTGAAGCCTTTGGTTCAATTCCTACCCTCCAGAGCAGGAGAAAACAAGCTTTCCCCCTCTACCATGTGACAGCCCTTGAGTCATTTGAAGATGGTTAACATATCTCCTCTAGGTCTTCTCTTCTCCAAGCTAAACATACCCAGCTCCCTTGATCATCTTGGTTGCCTTCCTCCACACATTTCAGATGATACTCAAATAATATTAATAATTTTGTATTTCCTCTTTATAGAAATGTTCACCATTTTTGTGTGGGAAGTGTTATTATCACAAGGGTGAAGTTATCTCCAGAGTGGAGAGTTGTAATTTTTTTGCTTGTTGAATATGATTTTGCTTATGTAACACAACTGCAAAATGGGTATAAAAACTTAGGGGAGAGAGAGAGAGAGAGAGAGAGAGGGAGAGAGAGAGAAGAGATTTGGGTTTTACTTATAATGTATGCTTTAAGTAGACCTAATCAGGTATACAATATGGCTTTGAAATAAATAAATTCATTTTGCTGTTCCACAGGACCCAAAACTCAGACCAACTCTGTATGCAATAATTATGGTTGCAGCTCCATAAAGATGATATGTTTTTGGACAAGGGAGTTTGTCCGAAGCAATTTGAAAGGTGTATATTGCTGCAGAAAAGTGTAAGTCCAAATATTGTGGAAAACTCCATAAGATCAGAAGCCTAACAATGCAGTCGATGATGATGATGATGATGATGCTTCTACCTGTATTCTACTGACCATAATTTGAAGCTCTGTTCAGGACTCCAAACTAAATGCATGCAAGTTTTCTATGCAGGCATTGATCTAGGTTGCAGGAATTGAATGTGTGACCTCACTATTCTTTCCACACATTTGCTTCAAAGGCCTGAAGAAGACTAAATAATTTTGGAGAGGCTATCATTTCCTCTTTTTGGTTGATATAATTATTAGCAAATCTTTGGGGTTAGAGCCAATAGTTTCTTTCTTTCTTTCTTTCTTTCTTTCTTTCTTTCTTTCTTCCTTCCTTCCTTCCTTCCTTCCTTCCTTCCTTCCTTCCTTCCTTCCTTTCTTTCCATCCATCATCTATATCATATCTCTCTCTCTCTCTCTCTCTCTCTCTCTCTCTCTCATCTCTCACCTATCTATCTATCTATCTATCTATCATCTATCTATCTAATAATAATCCAGAGTTGTATGTTACACCTAAGGTCTGTTTCTCAGGTGTCAAAGGTCAGGATAAAGAGGTGCATCTTTAGCTTGGGTCACATGTTTATTTTCCATTTCAGAATGGAAATAGTATAACCTCCTCATCCAATGTCTCCTTGGTCAATACGTCCTCAGCTGGAACCTCCTCGGCCAAAACTTCCCCAGCCAATACCTCCTCCCATAGTAGACTCTCATCCTGTGAAAACAATTACAGAGTTACCATGGCCATATTACGAGTTTTTGTTAACTCTGCTTTCATGTTTTAAAACATTAAAACAACTTGCATGTTTTCATGTGGGAGTGGGTGAATGTTCAAGGATGCAGAAGCAAGCCCATTTGCCAGGGTCCCAATTCCACATGCACTAAGCTGACTTTGCAACATTAAAGGAAAAGTTCATAAAGGGGCTTCTAAGCATGTTCAGAAGAGTGCACTTAGAAACTTCCACATCATCCGGAACCCTGGTAATGCTGGGTTCCTGACTAAATGGAGGTTTCTAGCTGTATATAATCTGAAGCGCCATTCAAGCTTTTACACTATGAAAGTCTGCTTTGTGGGCTGGGATACTATGGTCGGGCTTTTATGTGCAAACCCTCTGCTCTTTTCACACATTCTCTCTGAAAGCCAAAAACTCTTGACATTCAGACGGACAATTTTGCAATTGCGTGGTCTTCTGTTGTTCTGCATGATATTTTACAGGAAATATCTTGGGTTCCACCTTTAATAGCTCTACAGATATCAGTAGTGCCTCTTGCAATGTTCTGGTATTATTATTTTACTTACTTAGAATTTCAAAAGAAATTTAAAGTTCACTCCACATTGTTACTCACAGGCCCTCCAAGTGTCCTTATTTTCCTGGGATGTCCCTGATTTAGAGAAGCTACACAGGTTTCTTTTTTTATTATATATATATAATTTTTATTTATTTTCCATTTAATATTATGCATTCACATCCCCATTAGCCACTTTACTGCCCTCGACTTCCTTCCCTCCTGCCTCATGACTTTTGAAATTAACCTTTATATCATTGCAATTTATACGTTTTCCAATTCTAATTACACTCATTACAGAATGGCTCAAAATTTAAATAAACAGAAGCGGAAGCAGAAGCAGCCACAGCCACAGCAGCAGAAGAACAAGAAGAAGATGCAACTGTAATTAGAAACAGAAATGGCTATGAAATTATGGACATGGAATGTTAATGGACTAAATAATAAAGTTAAAAGAAATAAAAATTGAACAAATTTTATGGAAGAGAAAATTGAACATTATTTGTTTACAAGAAACATGTGGCAAGGAAGCACAGGAAAAAATTAATTAACAAAAAAAAAGGAAATGAATTTATATCTTGAGATAAAAGTAAAAAAAGAGGCGTGGTTTTGTGTATTAGAGATAGATATGAAGCATGGCAGATCTTCAAGGATGGGGAGGGAAGGCAAAAAATTAATAATAGTTGGAATTTATGTAACAAATGGCTCAAAGCCTGAATTTAATAAATCGTTGAACAAGAAACTTATAGATTATATGGATAAAAAAAAATCATAATGGGGGACTTAAATGGGGTGGTTTCATTGAAAATGGACAGATCAAAAAGAAAAGCAGAAAGGAGTACGGCAAGGCTGTATATTGTCTCCCTGCTTATTTAACTTATATGCAGAATTCATCATGCGAAAGGCTGGGCTGGATGAATCCCAAGCCGGAATTAAGATTGCTGGAAGAAATATCAACAACCTCAGATATGCAGATGACACAACCTTGATGGCAGAAAGTGAAGAGGAATTAAAGAACCTTTTAATGAGGGTGAAAGAGGAGAGCGCAAAATATGGTCTGAAGCTCAACATCAAAAACGAAGATCATGGCCACTGGGCCCATCACCTCCTGGCAAATAGAAGGGGAAGAAATGGAGGCAGTGAGAGATTTTACTTTCTTGGGCTCCATGATCACTGCAGATGGTGACAGCAGTCACGAAATTAAAAGACGCCTGCTCCTTGGGAGAAAGGCGATGGCAAACCTAGACAACATCTTAAAAAGCAGAGACATCACCTTGCCAACAAAGGTCCGTATAGTAAAAGCCATGGTTTTCCCAGTAGTGATGTATGGAAGTGAGAGCTGGACCATAAAGAAGGCTGATCGCCGAAGAATTGATGCTTTTGAATTATGGTGCTGGAGGAGACTCTTGAGAGTCCCATGGACTGCAAGAAGATCAAACCTCTCCATTCTGAAGGAAATCAGCCCTGAGTGCTCACTGGAAGGACAGATCCTGAAGCTGAGGCTCCAATACTTTGGCCACCTCATGAGAAGAGAAGACTCCTGGAAAAGACCCTGATGTTGGGAAAGATAGAGGGCACAAGGAGAAGGGGACGACAGAGAATGAGATGGTTGGATGGTGTTCTTGAAGCTACCAGCATGAGTTTGATCAAACTGCGGGAGGCAGTGGAGGACAGAAGTGCCTGGCGTGCTCTGGTCCATGGGGTCACGAAGAGTCGGACACGACTAAACGACTAAACAACAACAAAGGAGGAGAAACTACCTAAGACTTTCTTTTCTTTGGTAGAAAGCTGCAATCTAATAGACATTTGGAGATTAAGACACCCATTGGACAAGCAATTCCCATTCTTGG